TAGCTTCTTCTGTCACTTGCTCCTTTCTCTATTCAGAAAGTTGCCTGCTTATAGGAAGGCCACCAGAGAACATGGACAGACTTCTACTCGATTCTTTCATGACTCTATTAACAAGCCAGCATTTAATGCTCACTAACTTGTGTATGACATTCTAGGAAAGTACAGTGTCTGCCCCCACACTCATTCACTTGATTATTCAAGGCCATCTGAATAGGAAAAATATAATATGATTATTTTGGTCAGGAAAACAGAAACCACCCTAAGTATTATTATTTTGGTCAGGAAAACAGAAACCACTCTAAGTATTTCAGCCAGGATGGACCTTAATTTAGAAACTTACAAGCTTGCACGACGGTTTGAAAGAATACAGGAGCAAAGTTCAACAGCCATATAAAATATACTGGAACGACGTTTTCTCCATAGAGTATTTGTGTTTGATGATGCCCTTGGTTAGACTTCGGTCATTTCCATAGTGAGTCTTCATCTATTTCTCTGTTTGCATCTTTTTTATGAATCCTTGCTTTTTATGAATCACTGCTTTCTGTTAGAGCCTTGTTTCCATAAAGAATAATAGCCACTTCACCTTTGAATGGCACACTAAGTTTAGCCTAGCTGCTGCTATTGCCATTTTTCTGACAGAAAACAGTAATATTATGTTTCTTGAAGTTGTCTACCTGTCCCTTTACACTGTTCCTTCAGTCTTCCTTGTTTGCTGTTACCTGACTCAAGCTGCTGAGCCACAGCTTCTTTACATCTGGCTGGGGTCCATGCTTCTTTAATATACACCCTCTGATGGTGAGTTGCAGTGAGCGGAGCCTCAGTGCTGTAAACTGGCTGTGCTCCAGGCTTCAGCTGCTGAAAAATCTGCCTTGGCATTTGATGTTAAGTATAGCTCACAGATGATGACTACTTTTTTTGAAGCTGCATACAACATTTTGATAGGCTGTTATTATAAACCAGAACCTAAGACTAGAAACAGGCATGGGAAGGAATTTTCCATGCACAGAAGAAGCCCGTTAGCAGTGGTTGTTCTTTTCTGCACTCATTAATGTAGAGTCTGAAGATTTTTAGCAGAATGTGATCTAAAAATCAAAAAAGTCAGGCTAGGGCACAGTCACCCTCAGGGCGGCTTAAATTTGTGGCCTTGGCAAGCAGCATTACCAGAAACCTCAGAGAGCCTTTCATCTAGGTTGTCTTTGAAAATATGGATAGTTATCTATCTCATATACCTTCAAGAGAAAGTAGTCCCTGATGTAGACATATAGGAAACAAAAATGCCAATTGACTCCAGCAGTGATCAATACCCCTCACTTTTATTAACTTCATGCCAGTGTTTCCCAAAGTGCTCTTCAAACTTTGAATCTTTAGATGTACTCCAGAAAAGGCTTTCGTGGTCGAAATAGTTTGGGAAATGCTGTAATTTTTACCTACATCTAGGGATTCACAGTTAGCATTATAATACGACAAGTCTTATAGTAACAAAACCTTTTTAATTTTGTTTAACCTGGCACTCTCTTCATTTTTCCTTTTTTGATCACAGACTTTTTTTTTTTTAAATACTTTGTGTTCTGGGATACATGTGCACAATGTGCAGGTCTGTTATATAGGTATACACATGCCATGGTGGTTTGCTGCACCCATCAACCTGTCATCTACATTAGGTATTTCTCCTAATTCTATCTCTCTCCTTGCCCCTCACCCACTGACAGGCCCTGGTGTGTGATGTTTTTCTCCCTGTGCCCATATGGTTTCATTGTTCAGCTCCCACTTACGAGTGAGAACATCTGGTGTTTGGTTTTCTGTTCCTGTGTTCATTTGCTGAGAATGATGGTTTCCAGCTTCATCTATGTGCCTGCAAAGGACATGAACTCATTCCTTTTTGTAGCTGCATAGTATTCCATGATGTATATGTGCCATATTTTCTTTATCCAGTCTAACATTGTTGGGCATTTGGGTTGATTCCATTTTACTTCTGCATCATTTTGATGAACTCTTGTTGAGAACTGAGATTACTACCTGTTCCCCCAATTACCTTCTGTGGCCAACTAATTTATTCTGGATGACTATATGTGAGGTTCCTGAACTCATTTGGTCATTGGCTCCCATGGAAATCAGGAACATTAACACCTTCCCCAAAATACTTTTTTCTCTTGTGTATTTCAAGATTTTCTCCTTAACATTCAGCATCTTTACTATGATGTATTTGTGAATGTACTTGGTTAGAGTTTGCTGAGCTTCCTGGATATGTACTTGGTTATTTTCCAATAATTTTTGGGAAATAATTCAGCCATTATTTCTTTGAATATTTTTTCTTATCCTCTCTGTCTCTTCTTTCTTTTTGGTACTCCCCAAAGTGCCAGATTCATTTATGTGGGTGTTGGTGCGCTATTGGTGCCCACATTTCTCTGACACTCTGTTCATTTTTCTTCATTCTTTTTACTGTCTGTTCTTTGTTTTGCATAATCTCATCACAACCTTTACTGTTCCTGAGAGTCCTCTTAGGTTTCCAGATTCTGTCTCAAATGCAGTTGATTTCTTTGGGAAGAAATTAGGAGCTGTTTTTTTAAATGGCCTGTTTCTCCCCACAGGTGAAATGTCTAAACAGGACCTCTGGAGCTCAAGATTGGGCAATGTAAGCTTTTTTCTGAGTGGCATCCCCTCTCTAGGATCTGAGTGCTCAGTGGAGGGGAGTCAGCAGGCTAAAGTCTTCTGAGCTTACTTCTCCTGGCATAGAACCACCATCAGAAGAGTTGGAAAAAAGACTACTGGGGTCAATATTTCCAGTGCACCATGTCAGAAGTAGAGCATTTATTTCACCATTGAGAGAAAAAGGAAGCCCTCATCTCCCATCAACCCTCAAATGGAATTTAGCCTCAGCAATAAACCACCAGAAGTAAGGTGAGAAATGCTGAAGTCCTGGTCTTTCTGGGAAGAAAGCTTTCGCATTGGGCAGAAAGGTATCCCTGTGTCTTTGGTGCAGCAATCTGGAGTTGCTGATCTGGGAGGAGAAAGGGAGGCAGATGTCTTGGTTCAAATACCACAGACTCTTGCCTTTCTAATGGAATTTTGGCAGATTTTCTTGATGTTTCTTCATTTTCTGTTTGCCTATTGGAGCATTTCCAGTCTCTGAATGATTGTTTTTTTTTTTTTTATAATTTTACCAATTTTATAAGTGAAATGAAGCTCCTCATACTGTCATGCTAGAATTCATTTTTTTCAGATTAGATTTTAAATACATAAAACCCATACAATTATAAAATAAGTCAACTGTATTGAAATATAGCCATTACAATATTTAAAAGTTGTGACATAGTACTTATTTATTAATATGATAAATACTCTAGCTCTGTTCTAATAACTAACTACCATACTTTAAAACAGAGATGCACATAAATGAACATATGTTTTGGGATATCTACAACAACTATAGTGTAATATAGAAATATCTATGATTGCTAATGATGAAAGCGTCACAGAGGTTTTAATTTCATTATGGTTTGTTGTCTACACTCGTGATTTCAGGAAATGCTGTTCAGTCAGAGGTCAGTAAAAATATAAATGTAAAGTTTTGCAGTCTGCATTTACTGATCCCTTGAATTTTATCCACAGTCCTTTTGGGGGTCCATTTACCCAGGCAAAGATTTCACATAAGATTTTCGACCATCACAGAATCGAGAGAAGGCCTTTGAACAACTCGTGTGTGCTGTGATCCTAGGAATGGCTCTGATTCTTCTTTTTAATGGTAAATGAAAACAACCTGTAGGAATTTTTAGGTCCTCTGAAGCCTTGCATAAATTTTTCTTGGAAAGCCATGATCTCTATTTATCACCAGCTTTGTCACTTGTCTGCATCTCTGATGGGAGTAACCTTGGAAATGATGGCAGAAGCATAGACAGGGAATTTCAAAAAAGTACATTTCCATTATTGTAACAAAAGACCTATCGGTGGTTTTAGAAAAATAGTACTGAACAATGCCACAATAAATGTATGTGGGCATGCCTTTATAATAGAATGATATATAATTCTTTGGTTATATACCCAATAATGGGATTGCTGGTCAAATGGCATTTCTATTTCTAGATCCTTGAGGTATTGCCATACTGTCTTCCACAATGGTTGAACTAATTTACAGTCCTACCAACAGTGTAAAATACTTAATGTAAATGACTGGGTGATAGATGCAGCAAACCACCATGGCACGTGTATAACTATGTAGAAAATGTGCACATTCTGTACTTGTACCCCAGAACTTAAAATAAAAAAAAAAAGGAACATCTATAAGCCTTAAAAGAGTTAAAAAAAATTAGTACCGACTCTGGAATGTGCAAATCTGGGGGATTTAAGCTGTAAATATCAAGCAATACAGACTCAGAGAGATTTAAGGTTAAGAAAAAGTGTTTAATTGCCTACTAAAATTTTAGTCTCTGTGGAACACATCTTTGTGAAAACACAGTACTTTTAGAAATTGTCTATAATTCAGTTATATAATCTCTTTAAAAGAGAAATTTATCCACATCTTATATGATGGAGAAAAAATTATTCTTTAGTCATTGCTCAGTTCTATCTTTTACTTAAATAATTCAGATTTCACTTCTACCACCAAATGTAAATATTTCTATGATACAAAGTTTCTTTTAGAATTAATTACTTCCTCCAGGTTTTATGTAACAGCAGGTTGTGCCGGAAGCTTAGTTCATGCTGTTTGTCTATATCATCTTAACCAATGATCTGTTATTTTTAAGAGGCAGTATTAAATATTTGGAAACATAAAGCCATATACATATGAAATTTTGCTTTCACCACCATAGCCATCAAATGTATCATTTATGAAAATTAGTGACACAGTATGAAATAAAACAAAATCTGAATGCTATTGTACCATTGTACCTTAAGAGATTTAGATTAGACATAAAGGAGTTTTTAATTTTTAAATCTCAGGATTGTTAAGTATTAGAAAGTGCTCTCTCTTTAAAGGTCATTACAAAAACGTCGATCTGGAAGACATAGCTGCGAGTGACTGTGCTGGTGGTGTTCAAGATGACCAAGAATTTCCAAGTCAGTGACGGGGACTGGATTTGCCCTGACAAAAGATGTGGAAATGTAAACTTTGCTAGAAGAACCAGTTGTAATCGACGTGGTCGGGAGAAAACAACTGAGGCCAAGATGATGGAAACTGGGGGCACTGAAACAGAAAAGACACTTGCAGAAAAGAGCCGAGGCCTATTTAGTGCTAATGACTGGCAACATAAAACTTGCAGCAATGTGAATTGGGTGAGAAGATCAGAGTGTAATATGTGTAATACTCCAAAGTATGCTGAATTAGAAGAAAAAACAGGATATGGTGGTGGTTTTAATGAAAGAGAAGAATCTGATGGTGAATATGATGAGTTTGGACATAAAAAGAAAAAATACAGAGGGAAAGCAGTTGGTCCTGCATCTATATTAAAGGAAGTAGAAGATAAAGAATCAGAGCAAGAAGAGGATGAGGATGAAGATCTTTCTAAATATAAATTAGACGAGGATGAGGATGAAGATGATGCTGATCTCTCAAAATATAATCTTGATGCCAGTGAAGAAGAAGGTGGTAATAAAAAGAAATCTAATTAACGAAGTCACTGAAAGTCTCGATCTTCACATTCACGATCTTGATCATGCTCATCTAGGTCCAGGTCCTGTTCAAGAAGTTCTTTCAGTTCACAGTCAACATTTCATTCCAGTTCCAGAGAACATTTGAGATCTTGTAGGTTAAAATCAAGATCCAGCTCCAGGTCCCACAGGGGCTCTTTTTCCCCACGAAAAATACCTTATTCAGGTTCATCATTTTCTCCTGAGAGGAACAGAAAGAGAATTTGTTCTAGATCTTCTTCATCTGGTGATTGCAAAAAAAGATGAACAAGATCACGGTCATCCGAAAGACGCCACAGGTCGTCTTCTGGATCATCCTATTCTGATTCCTGTTCAAGTTCAAAAAAGAAATAATGCATTAAAATTTACATCTTAAAAAAATCCAGTACAGTGCATGAAGCATATTTTTAAAGAAGTTGGTGTCTTACTTGGTCAGAAGTGCTAAATCTGCTAGTAGAGGTGCGTGCCTTTCATTGGTTTTTCAAAATAATACAGCTGTGTTTATTTGTGAAGTTCAAAGTAAATAGTATTTTAAGCCATAATGTCCCAAAATAGATACTCTGTTATTCATTATTTACAACCATTTGCTCCATTTAAAACCATTTCAGCTATAACAAAGTACTTTGCTTCCTAATTTTAACCCATTTTTCTCATTTTCAAATACATCCTGTCCGTTGGCTAAGACAGGATTACCTAGACTTGCCTGAACTTTGGGCATGGAGGCAAGACTGGAAGCTAGTTGGAAACAACACACTTACGGAGAAGTCAGCCTGTTTATGCTGTTCACAGTGTCAGTGATTCTCACCAAAAAAAGTTAAACTGTGTTGCAAAGCAGCCAACTGTCAATGTCTTTATTTTAAAATTCCCTATGCTAAGCGTGCCTTAGAATCATTGTCTCTCTTTTATCCAGCTTTACTTTTTTGCTCCACAACATTTAATGCAAAAGAATCTTGTACCATCTAGAAGGAGAGAAGTGGTATTTATTTTCCTTTCTGACACTTAATTTGGGGCAAAACAGAAAGTTTAACAGTTTATCGCTTCTCTGCTGATATGGTTGCTTGATAAAGACATCTCAGAATGTTTACCATATTTGAAGAAGCTTTATGTGATATTCTTTAAAATCTAGTTATCCAATATAATATGGTAGAAAAGGCTAAATCGTAGTTAATGAGCAAATTGAAGTAAGCTCTTTAAGTGTATTACTCTTTTGGTGTAAGGCCAATGGAGACATTGTGAATTTAAGTGAACATTTGCCTCAAGATGTTAACTATAAACACACTGCATATAATTTTCTTCTGCATGTGATATAGCTAACTTAGAGTTGGAACCTGTACACTGCCATCTTATAAAAGACAAAAATGTTTCCATTCTCCTCACAAGGACTGCTAACCTTGGTTTCTGTAAACTGCTAGATTATTTGCAGGATGCAAAGAGAGGTAAAGCTGCATACCTTCTCTTATCTGCCAGAATTGCTGGCCTTTGTTTCCCAGAGTAAGCACCCCCAGATAATTCCATCCTGGCGCCAAGCAACTGAAAATCTGTGGATCCCACCCCTACCCAGACGATGTGTAAATGAATGCTAATCTTAGCATCTGTGAACCCCTTAAATAACAATCAGAATGTCAAATAATCCCCTGGCCCTTGAAATGTCCGGAACCCCTTCACCCTCATCTCTGCCCAGAAGGTGATCTGAATCCACTGGCCCTCAGAATGTCTGAAGCCCCTCACCCCATCCTCTCCCCTCACCCCCAAGGTGATTTTATGGGTACAAAAAGGTCTTGTCATCCTGCTTTCTTGGCCACGGGTTGGAGAGACGTGAGTCCTCCGTGGTCGCCAGCAATAAACCCTGCAATTTGGCATACTTTTGTTCTGGTGTTGACTTTCTGTGCTTATTTCGATGCAACATGTATAACAAATGATTGCTTATCTCTGCATGATGTAAGCAAAAATCATTATTTTTCCTATTCATTTGAAATAAGTTATGGCTTAAAATGCTTTCGGAGTTTATTTTTCAAAATCTGGTCACATGAGCTTCATTTTCTTTTCTCTTTTAAAAAATAAAAAGGTTTCTCTTAACAGTGTTTTGAGTGACAATGCAAGGTAAGTATATCAAGGGAAATCAACACTTGTGCTTGGGGGCTTTTTGTTATGGGGTATTGATTTCTTTTTCTTGTTTTTTTTTCTCCCATGACATTGTCTGCTGTAATTTAAATAAAAATTATGACATTTTAAGATATTTCATTGACAGACTGAACAAAAATACATGTTTTTATTTTAAAGTGAATATTTTTCTCTTTAGCTGCTCTAAAAATGTAAGCAAAATGTCTTATGTGGAAATATTTTGATAATATTTTTACAGTGAGCTTTCCCATGTTTTTATGTCTTAATTTTCTTTGCTGCATTTATGTAGGTTGCACAAGAACTTTTACTCTCTTGTAATTGTGCCTCAGACTTTTTGAAAGTCTACCTTCTAAATTGCCCAGATGATCTAGGTTCTACATGTTATCACTGGTGCTTTCTGTATTTAAAACTTTGGCTGTCCTAAGCAAATGCAAGGTTATAATTTAGCTAATAGTAGTTTATAGACAATGCTGATGATTATGATTTAATTTGGTTTAATTAAGCTGTACTAGTTCATTTCATAAGGAAATGGTCCTATAGACAAATGTAAATAAAGCCTGTGAGTCAAGCATCAAGTGGTGTTTGTTAGAAATAAACCAGAGATTTTAAAGCTCTGAAAACAAACAAACAAAAAAATCCCAAGCAAACAAACCAACAAGACTTCTATCTGAGGTGATTTGAGCGATCTGTTCCCTGAGGGGAGTGAGTGGGGCTGGGTGACTTCTCAGTGTTGTACCTGGCCATTTGATTTATGATTCTGTGTTCTGATGTGCAAGAACAGTTTGTTATGTTAATGTGCAAATGATCTGGCTTGAAGAAATCACATCAAAGCAATCTCTCTGTGTTAGTATTTTTCTCTCTTTAAAAAAGATTCTATTTTCAAAGAGATAATGGACAATTATTAGTGTTTGCAGAATATTTCTCAAAATGAAAAGAAATAAGAAAAGCAAATTGTATACTTAATTGTATACTGAAACTTTCTGTGGCTGAATTGGCATATTTTCTCAGCTTTTCCTCTTACTGTGGAGCATTATTTCTTCATCAGCATTAGAAGGCACCAGAAGAGTAATTTTGATGCTAGCACTGGAAAAACATATCTGTTCTTTTGGGACCAGAACTCAAGGTGATTAGTGCTCCAGGGATGTAGGAAACCCATGTAATGATTTTCCTTTGCATGAGAAAGCACCTCCTTCTTCAAGCCCTGGAAAATTCTACAGAGATATGACTCACCTGGCCCACTTGGAGGGCTGTGGATAGGATGGCATCATACTGAGAAGCAAGGATAATTGTGAGGGCCAGTAAAGCTTTAGAAGACACACCGCTTAGGTAAAAAGAGAAACATTAAAAAGAAATACAATAGAAGTACAATCAAAGTATCGCTTGATAAATTGAAGAGTAAAATAATAATGGTCTAATGGCTCAAGACTCACACTGAAAATTGGGGGCTATAAATTCTGATCTTGGCACTATGGTTAGCTTACGATGTGTGCATCTGCACAGGCAAATCGCTTCCTCTTTGAGGTTCAGTCACTGCAGCTGAGCAAGTTCAGAAGGTGACAGCATACCTAATGTGTATACAGTATTTTGCTGTCTTGTTACAGAGTCTCTCTTAATTGGGAAAGCAGGAGAAACACCATTATTTCCTTATAGCTTTCTTTGTTCATTGCCAACACCTCCCCCAACCTTGTTCACATTTGAAATCATAGAAACTAGAACTAGGGGTACCTTATATAAAAGTTTTTTGGCTGAAGTCTATTCACCCAGCTGAATGGGGGAAGGAATTATTGTCACCTTCAGCCATTTCTATCTCACAGTATGGCTAAATGTCAAAATAGACACCCTCTGGACTCTCCAAAAGACAGGTTCTCATAGTGCAGCTACACACTGGGATCCAACTCAATTCCTGGCCTGATGATATTTTATACCATTTTTTCTCAATTTCTAAAAATGCAGCTTCCTGCTGGTACCATAAAACAACCTGGGAACTCATGTGGATTTGAGATATGCACACCTATACCCTGGCTTCAGTGTTCTCACATGGCCAGGAATACTTGGCAACAGAAAAGCTCAGAGGCAGTGAAAGTGGAATGGAGATGGTGAATCGTCACTTGAGTTTTATTTATAGCTTGGGGCCAGTTGGCATTGTTTTTTCTTTCCTGGTCATTTCTCAGATTTTTCCCAGCTTTTTCTTTTTGAGTCCTGATTCATTTTTTATTTTCTTACTTTAACTCTCAAGCTTATTTATTTATACTAAAATGCATTATTTAAGACCTCACAGATTTTTTTGAATGGATCTTCAAAGCTGGAAATAGAACACTAAGAGTTTCTGGTGCAATGACACAACTCTCATAGCACCCAGATTCTTCTTTGGAAGAAATATAGCACACTGCCTGAATATAATAAGTGTTTATTTTCTGTATCAACAATCTTTATAAATGTAACTCTTTTAATTTTTCAAACGAACCAACTGGGGATAATTAGATAATAAACTACAATCATAATCTAAGGTTAATCCATCATCTTTTTTCTAATCCTAATCCTCTACACACCCTTCAGAACTTTACAGCACCAATTTCATTTTCATACTATCTTTAAGCTTTTTCTTGAATGTTAGAATACTTGCACTGAGTGTCTTTTCTGTGTTAGGCACTGGATTAGGTGCTGAGAAAACTATGGTGAAGGAGACACACATCTGTCCTTAAGGAGTTTGCAGTTTTGGATGGAAGAATAAGAAGCAAACCAGCATTGCAAGACGGGGAAGAATACTTTTGAGACTTTGTGACCTTAGCACAAATAAAAGAACTCTGATTCTTCTCACTATGTAAAAATAATGCTTAGGACTACCTATCCTAAGTAACTCCCATTCAAGTCTACTGGTGTTCACTTTTTTCTGCCAAATGATTCCATAGGACATTCACTCTCTCTGCTAGCTTACTGGTTACAATGAACTGAATGCTTGTGTCACTCTAAAATTTATATGTTGAAATTCTAAACCCCAAACTGATGGTATTAGGAGGTGGAGTCTTTGGGAGATGGTTAGGTTGTAAAGGTGGTGTTCTCATATTGGGATTAGGGCCCTTATAAAAGGTCTCAGAGAGCTAGCTGATCCCTTCTACCATGTGAGGACAGAGCTAGAGGGTATCATCTATGAACCAGAAAGCCATCCCTCACCAGACAGCAAATGTGCCAGCACCTTGAACATGGACTTTCCCGCCTCCAGAGCTGTGAGGGATACATTTCTGTTGTTTATAAGCTACCCAGTTTTTGGTATTTTGTCATAGGAGTCCAAATGGACTAAGAAACTGAACAATTTAT